ACCATTTATTATTTTGGTGGCAAACACGAAAAATTAAATAAGCTATAATTATTGTATCTACTTATTTTTTGTGTGGGTGATATACATGAATGATTCTTCAAAATAAATTATTTGAATTATCAGAATGTGACCCGTGGTGGGCCTCACAAATACAAACAATACCCTCTAATCCAGATCATGGACTAAAGAAAAGCAAATGAACTTGATTAAAATAACTTAAGCCAAATTACACTGATTGTTCTTACATTTTTTCTCTTGTATCATTTTGGTCCCTGAACTTTCATTTAGCTCAATTTTGACCCTTCCTTAATTTTAAATTTTGTGTCAATTTGATCCAATTGATAGTGTCATTAGTGTTTTTTATAAAAAATTATCACTAAATTAGTTGAAGTTAACTCACTAAATTGAAAAAATTTATACTTTTTCCTTGAAAAGTATGACATATGTCACTTATGTGCAGATTTTTTCGTTTAAAAGTGCTAACAATTGTAAGAGGATTAAATTGAGACAAGTAAATTCATGGTTAAAATTGAGCAAATTGAAATTATAGAGGGCAAAAATGACAAAAATCAAAATACTGGGACTAGCAACGTAATTTGTCCAATAACTTAACAACATAATAAATAAAAAAATGCTTCATACCACTAATTTAGCACCACTAATGACATGGCATCATGTGGACCCCACCACTGATGTGATAGTTTGGCCTTTGTTGTTGTTGTTGTTGTTGTTTTTTTCTTCTTCTTTACATTGCCACCTCAATAGTGGTGCTTTTAGAGCTTTTAATTTAGTGCTCTAAATCGGGACTGTAATAAATATTAAGGTAAATTAGACTCACTTCTCCTGAATTTTGAAAAAAATACATTCAGTCTCACATTTTTAACATAATTATATTGACGTCTCTTTTAATAAGGTTTTCTAAACTAATACAGATGATGGGTAGATATTGAAATAAATAAAAATAAATATACATTTTAGTGGAAAGAGATGATAATAATATATTTTATTTATAAAATGGGTCTAGCTGTTATATAAATTAAAATCTCAAGAGAGACCAATAAAATTATATCAAAAGTATTTCGCTAATTTATCTTAAATATTACTGTGAAACTACACACTCATTATAAAAGAGTAAAGATGAAAAGGTTTACATGTCATAATTGTTTATTTTTATTTTCTCACTTCTGTTCGTGTGGGATCACTAGGTGTAATCTTGTTAATTTTCTTCACAAATTTTTAATCAGTGGTTATTTTTTAGGAAACATGTTATTTTAATAATTTTTGACTTTTTTATGAAAAGATATACAGAAAAATAAAGAGAGTAATGTGACAACTTATAGTGATTTTTTGACTAAAATTTCAAGTTGTCAAATGAGAAATGTCCAAATTGTTGGAAAATGGCTTTGTAAAACCTTATTTTTTTTGCTAAGTTTAAGCATTAATTAAAGTAGAACCCAATCGTTATTTTTGACGCTTCTAAATGGGTTCATGTTTAATGATGCGTAGTGAATAATATCGTGTATTTGGTTGGGCAAAACCATTTCTAGATAAATGAGAATTCAACACGCATTTTCGGATTTGTGGAAATGACTTTAGGTGGGTTTCCTACACATTTGTGAAATGTGTTTGTCCCACATTAGAAAGGCTCAAGGATTTATATGGGTATATAAACTCTAACTTGCCATATTTGGGATGGGCCTCAAGGAGTACCCAAGTTTTGTGGAAAGGTAAGGTTATGGATAAAGTGGACTAAACCCATTGGACCCAAAACAAAACACGTGCATCATTGCCGTCTGTCTAGGCGCGCATGAAGGGTTAGGTTGGGCTTGTCTGACCCAATACTTATCTTTTTGGGCTAAAAATTTTTGTATTTTATTTTTTTTAATTTGAATTTCGGTTTCAAAATTCAAAATAAATCTATCCAGATTTTTCCTCCACCCGAACAAATCTATTCCTGTTCAATCTGTCCAAATGGGTTGAAAATTGAAACTTGTTTTGAAGAGCCACTAGTTCTTCTATAAATAGCCTTCCATTCTAGCAATTCTTTCAATCCAATTTTCCTTGAGCATTTCATCTTTCTTCTTCCCCTTCCATCTTCCTATTTTCTGCATCTGTCTACCATTTATTTTTAGGAAGAAAAAGAGAGTCACAGTATAGTTTTGGTTCGCCAGACTTAAGTTTGTAGTGCTGCAAACCAAAGAGTAGTCGTTGCATCCCAAGAAGTAGACACCGGTAAATCTCAAAGCACCGGAGCAAGGGCGAAATCTACTTTAAAGAGATTGTGTCCAACACAAGTCTCGACTTGTAATTTCTGTAAACAATTTATTCGAAATTTAATTTATATAAGTATTTTCTGAATTATTTATTTTTATTTTGTTGTTTATTTTATTTATACATCTATTTACACATACACACAACCTTTGGGGTGAGAACATATAATAATGAAACTAAACTCAGTTTTCTCAATAATTTTTTTAGTTCTTTGCTTTGTTTGTTTGTTTTTTTTTTTTTTCCAGATGATTATTGGTCTATTATGGAATATGCAATGCCGAGATCATCTTCTTAATTTTCTGGGAAAATTACATGAATTGATTTTGAAACAAATCAACTCCTCCTCCTCTCTCTCTCACAGACACACACACACAAACACACACACACACACATCCGGACTTGAAGCAAATACTTAAATCTAGTTCAACGAAGTAGAGAGTGAAGAAAGAAGAAAAGGATGTGTTCAGACACAAATCAACTTGTAGTTTCTTGTTTACAATTTCAATTTCAATAACCTAATCGAGAGAGACGGGAAGGAAGAGCTTGAAAGAGAGAGAAATCGATACCTCGCTGGTGTAGATGGCGATGGCGGTGCAGATGGTGGTGGAGATGGAGCTTCGAAATCGAAATCGAAATTACAGATTCAGATGAAATCGAAATCAAAGAAATCGAGCCGGTGCAGATAGTGGTGGCAGTGGAGCTTCGAAATTGAAATCGCTCTGAATCTCAAAGATAAATCTGTGAGAATGATAAGGGTTTAAAGATGAATCGAGAGAGAGAACTTCGATTAGGGCTACAGCGAGAGATGAATCGATTTGTTGAGATAGTTTAGAGAGAGAGTGAGAGAGAGCGAAAGAGAGAGTGAGTGAGAGATTAGGGCTATAAAATATGTGTTATATTTGATATTCACCGCTCGCCGATTTAAGAGAGAGAAATAGGACATTCGAAGGCGTTTTCAAACGCCTTTGGTTGTTGAAACGGTGCCGTTTGGATTTTTAAAAGGCGACGTTTAAAAAACTTCGTTAAATATTACGTCGCCAAAACTCATTTTTCTTGTAGTGAAAGCTTTACCAGAGAAACTCCTATCAACTACCAATCTAATTTCAGTCACGTTGCTTGTATACCAGCAATTAGAGCTCTTTGATAAGTAGTTAAGTTTTAGTGTGGAGTATTAAATTAATGAGCCGAATATGAATTGAGCTTAAGTAACATAATTTTTATAGTGAATATAAATTTATAAAGCCAAGTAGTAATTTGTTTAAGCTTAGTTTAATAAATTAACAAATTTTAAAATGTTCTCCAATTTTGCTTGTTTGTATAAAAAGTCAATTTTAAACTAGTTTTTAAGTTGAATACAAATCGAATTCGAGTAATTTGGTTGGTTTAACCATCCTAGTGAAGTTTGAGTTCGAGTCACGCTCGAATCGAACTTAAAAGATGTGATGTGAACTAAGTTCAACTCCAAATCCCTTACTTTGAGCAGGTTTTCACTTCATGATTAGATTCAGACCCTTGAGTTGTCCTTCAGTTCACTGATTTTCATAGTTTAGACAGCCAGTCTCTATTCATATCACTCGTCGACCTCGCTTAGGTTCATCTCGATTCTCTTTAGATTGGGGGATCACCTTTGACCTGCCCGACATGCTCTTTACTTGACTTCTTTCTTTTTCCTCAATCGTATCTCCACAAGAAGAAAGCTAGGGAGAAGACGACTAATCATCTCCTGAACCAAGCCTATGTTTAAGTGTCTTACTTACCTCCACACAACTCCATAATTTTTCTTTCAGTTCACCTGGCACCTCAAACCAGTCTTTATAGCATATCGGAACCATTGTGTGAGCCAACACCCCATGATAGCTTGAACATTTGATTAAATTGTTTCCAATCAATTGACCATTCTCATTATAGTCAATGGCTTTTTTGTATGACATCTAGTAATGTTGTCGAACCTCTGCTTTTTCTTTTATTAGATTTTGGTTCTATTGCTGGTAACCATGCATCCTCTCCATCAGTAGGCAGGACATGAGAAATATCCATCTTGTGAAAAATTATTGATTTTGTTTATTTAGTATTTAAATTTTTTAATTTCTATCCATGTGGTCTAATTGGATGCGATTATTCAAATCAACAATCGCTAATTTATAATTTGATAGACGAAAAGATAATTTTATAATTTGGACAACTTAAATTATTCAAACAAATACTCATTAAATTGGTTGTGAGGTGCAATTTGTTCAAAATAATAAGAAAAAATTAAAAAAAAAACTGCTGTATGATTTAAATTGTTCAAATTTTTAAATAACTTTTTTTCCTATTAAATTAGGCCTCATTGGTTATTAATTTGTATAATTGTATCCAAATGCACACATAAACATAATCTAGAAACTTTAGTGGCCAAAATAATTTGAAAAACCATATTATCCCTACTTATCTATCCACATATTATTATGGTATTGTGAAGTTTATTGTGTATATATAAATTTATTTTTATGGTTATATATATATAGTGGAATCTTCTGTTTAACATAAAAAAAAAAAGGAAATTTTTTTTGTTAATCAAAAATGGCTACAGAAAGTAATGTTACACTAGGAAATACTGCCCCTACACCCGTTGTGTCTACACCGGTTGCTTCCATTCCAACAGTTGTTGGACATGGTCATGTTCCGTCAATCATGGGGAAAAACCTGAAAAATTTAGTGGTATAGATTTTAAGCGTTGGCAACAAAAAATGTTATTTTATCTGAACACCTTAAATTTGACAAGGTTTTTGAGAGAAGATGCTCGATCTCTTAGTGAGAATGAAAGTGATGCACAAGTTGTTGCAACAGTGGATGCATGGAAACATGCAGATTTTTCCTGCAGGAGCTATATCCTAAATGGATTGGATAACACATTATACAATGTGTATAGTCCAATCAAGACCGCAAAAGCATTGTGGGATTTGCTTGATCGCAAATATAAAACAAAAGATGCTGGAACAAAGAAATTTGTTGTCGGTTGCTTCCTTGATTTTAAGATGGCGGATTCCAAAATAGTGATCAATCAAGTCCAAGAAGCTCAAGCCATCCTGCATGAAATTCATGCAAAAGGAATGTCTCTGAGCGAATCTTTTCAAGTGACAGCTATTATTGAAAAATTACTTTCGACTTGGAGGGGTTTCAAAAACTATTTAAAACATAAATGCAAAGAGATATCACAAGAGGATTTGATTGTTCATTTGTGGATTGAAGAGCATAATCGTGGTTCTGAAAACAAAAATGGACATCGTCTCATGGAATCCAAGGCAAACATTGTGGAATATAAGCCAAAGTTTAACAATAAGAAAAGGAAGCATCCCAGAGAGAACTCTAAGCAAGGTGTTAAAAGTGGAGATAGTCCGAATTTTAATGGCAAAATGGGATATTGTGCCAAGGATTGTCACAAGAGCAGGACTCAAGGGAACTACAAGAAAAAAAAACCTGCTCAAGCTAACTTAACTGAAGAAAATAGTCTTTGTGCAATGGTTTCGCACCTGAATGTATCTGGCATTGTGTCTGAAGTCAATTTGGTGGACAACCCCAAAGCATAGTGGATGGACATAGGCTCTACTCGCCACATTTGTTCCAAGAAAAAGATGTTCTCATCATATCATGTAGCAGAATATGGAGAACAACTTTATATGGGGAATTCTTCGACTTCCAAAGTTGAGGAACGAGGGAACGTGGTGCTAAAGATGACATTAGGCAAAGAACTCACTCTCAAAGATGTGCTGTATGTACCAGATATTCGAAAGAACCTAGTTTCTGGATTTTTGCTGAGCAAGAATGGATTTAAATTTGTAATGCCCTCAATTTAAGACATAAATCATTCATTATCAAGTTTCATGAACATAAGGGAAAGAATACATTTTCATTCATCAGAGTCTTCTTTACAAAAATAATACATGTTATCAACAAAGTAAATGCCCTACGGGCTTACAACTTTCCAAGTTAACACTTGGTCACAACAAAAAAAGAGTTCTAACTCTTTATATAGAAGCCCTCGGCTTGAATTTACATTTAATCAACAAAACAAAATAACTAAACATGGAGCCTTCAACTCCTAAACCTCCTAAGCTAAGATCTTGGAGGCGACATATCACCTGTACCTGAAAAATGATGTCCCAAGTAGGGTGAGCCAAAGCCCAGTAGAGATATGCTAAACAACAAATGAGAATTAACTAAAACATTAGCATTCGATAAATGTTTAACACTTATGAACCATCTTAAACCTTTTCCATAATCAATCAACATTGATACCCACATTTCAATTCACTTCCGGTTATTACTCAAGTCAATTCATTAACATAATTCATTATCATAAAAACAATTCAACATGAGACTGCAACTCATTCATCAATACTTCAATTATAAACATCATTCATATACTTCCATAACTTTGCCATTTTACGGAACTACGTCCGAGGGAACCGGCACCCAAACATAAATAAGGTTTCGAGACTTTCACCCAGGACACTCCGGCCAACTTAATTATCCATGGAGTCTATCCCCTATGTCCTCCCAAACAATGGAGTACATCCCCTATCTCCTCCTAGACGATGATACATATATAATGTATTTAAACATGTTGTCATATATAATGACCAATTCAATCACATATACAATGTTTTCTTCCAACCGTCATATCCAATGACATATTTCAATTGATTAGTTTCAATTTATCTAATCAACATGCAGTTTCTACAACAATCATGACTATCCTCCACCGATAGCCCAAAACAGATATATCTAAACAGATAAATAAATTTCTCAACAGATAATATATCACATTTTCCATAGGTGAGTGATTCATCAATCCAACTAAACCATTTAATCACAATTTTCCCCAATTTCATAATTTCCAAACCAATTTCATGTTTCCACAATGATCTCACTATTTAAACAAATAATTTGTATAACACAAAGTAGGGCATTCTCCCCATTTTCTCAAACATTGCACCCAAGGCCAAATTTCACACAACATACCCAAATATTCTCATATTCAAGTCCTCACATACATGTGGAACCCCAAAATAGGAAACCCCTCTTCAAATAACAAAACCCTAACCTTGACTTTGCCCAAATCTTCCACAAATCCACCATTTAAGTGTTTGAGTCTGATAAGTTTGTACTTACCAAAAATGGAATATATGTGGGAAAGGGGTACATAAGCGATGGGCTCTTTAAACTTAATGTATTGATTGTTGTTCCAAAGTTTAATAAAATTAACACATCTTTTGCTTACTTGCTTGGGTCTTCTTGTGTGTGGCATGGACGATTAGGTCATGTAAATCATGATACTTTGTGAAGACTAATTTACCTATATTATTTGTCTAAATTTCAAATTGATTCAAATCACAAATGTAAAGTGTGTGTTGAAGCAAAATTAACTAAAGCACCATTTCAATCAATTGAAAGGAAAACTAAGCCACTGGACTTAGTCCATAGTGATATTTGTGATTTGAAATTTGTTCAAACTCGGGGTGACAAAAAATATTTCATTACTTTTATTGACGATAGCACTAGATATTGTTGTGCACTTGCTACGAAGTAAGGATGAAGTCTTGGAAAAATTCATCAAAAATAAGAATGAGGTTGAATTACAATAAGGCAGAAAAATTAAGGTGTTAAGAAGTGATAGAGATGGTGAATATGATGCACCTTTTTGGTGACTTATGTTCACAACTTGGAATTGTACATCAAACTACTGCGCCTTATACACCTCAGCAAAATGGAGTTGCTGAGAGGAAAAAGCAAACTTTAAAAGAAATGATGAATGTTATGTTAATAAGTTCGGGACTGCCTTAGAACTTGTAGGGGGAAGCTATTCTTTCTGCCAATTATATTTTGAATAAAATA